CCCCCCCCCCCCCCGGGGCGGCGGTAATGCTTAATAGTAAGAGACCAAGTGAACCCCTTGAACCTGAAGCTAAAGGAGTGAAAATGAATAAAAATATGAATTTCCTTTGACTCGAGAAACTTGAACTGTGGTTTAGCCACAACTTGACTATTAACAACTCTGATACTAGTTTTCCTTCCAACATCCTTCAAGTATTCTCCGCCTGTTGGAGCATTGTTAAACCTAGCAAATTAATGTTTATCAGTCTTGATACAGGGGTATCGGTATTTTCAAATAGACATTTTCCCAAGGGCGACTTCCCAAGTGAGAATTTCCCAAACGGTTAGGTTAGACCTTTTGAGGCGCCGGACCTTGCAATGGGTGCCTAGCGCTGCGGCTAGGATAGGCTAAAGGGCTGAGCGTTCGGCGCTAGGCCAGACTTAGCAAATTTCCGCTTAGGAAATGGCACAGTTGGGAAGTTTCCGCTAAAGAAGTTGCCGTTTGGGAAAGTACCTAACATCGGGAACTAAGAATGAGACTTCAGAGACGACAGTTCCCATTTTATACCGTCTGCTACCATCTATTAATGATTTACTACAACTGTTAACAACTGTGTCTTTATTACCGAGTCATTTGATAAGCCATTGAAAAAACGACGAAATTTGTATGACCTGAAAAATGTCATATTTTAAGTTGACAGTCTCATCTTTTGTGGGTAACCCTGGACTATAAGCGTATTTAAAATATCCTTCATGCAAAAATCGCAATGCCCGATTCACAACGATACACTTTAAGACTTTCTCCGATTAAGCTTAAATTAAATATTAATGTTTATAATTTGGAAAATTGATATCCTTATTGTGGCTATATTCTAAAGATGTGACTTGCGCATTACTTCTGCAGGAAAACATCAAAGAAATATCAGAATTAAACACTTTTAAACCTAGAAAAACGACATTTTCTTCCATATTATTGATCGTAAGTTTGAGAGAAATAAACAAGTGGAATAATTTGCCAGAGGAGGTCTTAACTTTGGTATTGGTAAATTAAGCTAATTATCGATCAGATAAACGCACTAGCACTACGCAGTGACATCCTTAACTCAAGTGAAAGAAAATCTCGTATTTCCGCAGATTTGTCGAAATACGATTTTTTCTAATTTTGAATCATTTTCCAAAGCGCTTTCACTAAAAAGTGATTTACGGATTTGAGCTGCAGAGAAAGAAGAAATTATCGAAAATTAACACTTTTCAAGATGAATAAAAAGAAAAATATATTCCTCATTGTTACTTAAATAAATATTAGAAGGGTACCGTTGTGAATTAAACATATAAATCGATAAAAGGGAAGGGTCATATGAATTTAGTATATCGATAATGTATTTAGGGGATTATATTGGGGGTGGGGGGGGGGGGGGGGAAAAAAAATGGCAAGGTCATCTAGTTCTAAAAGTGGTCTCACCGTAGAACTACTTCGTGTGAATCGATGAAAGATCCTAAATTAGAATTTCTGAGGGACCCGGCACTTGTCACAACCGCACACGAATTAAAATGTCTTTTTTCTAAAAACTCATTTTTCGGAAAAAATCGCTCCAACTTTAGTTTCTTAAACATTTTGTTCTCACGCGTAAAAGTTCGAATGTTCAAGTGCTTCTTAGCACTACACAGTATTTCACGCGGGGATAGTTTTATATCATTTTCTCCGTAGCGACCACTGTACGTTACATTGTACGCGTTGGGAAAGGATTCAGACTGGACTTGCTTGCCGGCGTCCAGCACCGTGTTACGCAATTGTGCGTAGATCTGCTCCTTGTAGACCTTGATGTGTGCGTACAGCTTGTCCTTGGGCAACTCGGACACAGAGAGCTTCCTGCCCGGTAATATCTTCTCCTCCTGAGTATAGTGATAACGTGATTATACAGGACTATATACAATTTAAAAAACAGAAAAGTTATTTTCGAAAATATATAAATAAGTAAGTGAATTTTACCTTTACCGTACAAGTTATGATACTGGTTGAAAAGGGAGGGGGGAGGGGATTGAAGATCAATTAAGATGAAAACCTCAGAATTGTTAATGGCAGATGTAGCATAAACCTTCGGGGATAAATATATATCCCTGGACTTAAGATAAATAAAACCAATACCTTTGATTTATATTTAGGCCTGGGTCTAGGTGCAGGCTGGTTTCCGACCGGAAGCTGGCGAGGGGAATCATATCTCGGTCTAGTAATAAATAGGTTAATCCTAAATACGTTTACAGTCCCGTTAAAGGGACTTAACGCGTAATTTCACGTGACCCTCCATGTCCATTTCACAACGGTAACCCTTAAATATTTATCTGAACAATAAGGAAGCTTTCGCAGTTTTTCGAGACACTCTTAGAGAAACAACAAAGAAAATAAATCAATTTTAAGCAAAAATTAAGGATATATCCGGATCTTTGATTAAACAAGGTTTCAAGGAAACTGTTGTGAATCAAATATGCGACTCTTGTCCCTAGATGTCTACTGTCAGTTTTATATAATATAAAAATTTGAAATTTTTTTTTTCAAAAACTTTTCTGTTTGTTAAAAATAGTGAAAATGAAAGAGAAGAAATAAAAAAACAGTGGTAAAAGGAGAGAAAAAATCTAAAAACATGATAGTTTTTAACAATAAATGCGCCCATTTCATGGCGCCCATTTGATGTACCCCCCCTCTCAGATTTTTTTCTTGCAATCTGGAAGTTGAAGCACCTTTTTCCACTTTTTCCACTATGAAATCAATTCCACAATTAAAACAATAAAAATGGTATAAAAACTTACTTGCGGTGGCTTTTTTCATGGTTTACACGGTCCAACACGTGGCGAGGTTTGTTCATTCTATTCGTCATTTCCAGGGAGGATATTCTTAACCAATAGTTTGTCCAGATCAAGTAGATATAGGATATACTTCCACTAAAATATAATATACTACCACTAAAATATATTGGATACACTTTCTGCAAATTTTCAAAAGAAAAAAAACTTTATTAAAAATGAAAAAAATTATATCATTCTTAAACAAGCATTTCCTTATTTCTCGCTATATAAGCATACACTTTTCAGTCTAAATGTAATATTTTTAATTCCTAAATGATCAATAATAGTAAAAAAAATATAGGTCAGTATTACAACAGCCGCGTACGTTTTGCCCCCCCCCCCCTTGCATAATTAACTATTCCATGCCAGCTTAGGTTCAGATATATGGAGGGGAGGGGGGGGGCACAGTGGTTTAAAAAGCAGATTTCAGGGACATCAGTACACTTTTTAACAATTTTGACTAGAAATCAGATTCTTTGCAAAACTAATGGGTGATATCCATATTTCGCGATCTTCATAAAAAAGTTGAATTTGTTTTTTTTAAAATTATAAATTAGAATCATCTCTTTTTATTCAATGTTTGCGCCTCAATATCAAACAAATGGCTCAACCAAATTCAAAATTATTTTTTAAAGGTCATGACCAAAAAAAATTACATTTTATTGCCATGAAAATTTTTTTTCTAAATTTTTAATTTCCAAATTCTAGAAAACATGGAATTGAAAACCCTTTTTGTGGACATCAGAATTTAACTTTTATGTCTTCACAGTTACGGCAACTTTTGACAAAAAATAATACATTTTTGACATAATTTTTCATTCCACGCCAAATTTTACTTAAGCTTAAATTTTTAATTTATTAATTGGTAAATATTTCCTAAACCGGAGTAGTGTTCAAGCTGAACTGTAAACCCATGGAAAGCCAACATCTTCAAGATTTCGAAACATATATTGTTTGGTATAAGCACTGCTCCGGTTTTGAGTTATTCAAGAATTTGTGAAAATTTTGAAAGGTAAAAATGACTAAAAGTTAACATTTTGTTGTATATTATGATATTATTCTAAGAAAGAATTTATATATTTCTGGAAAAGTTCTTAAATAATATAATTTACATCTCTGTTATACTTGAGAAACATTTTATTTGAATTTAAGTGAAAAATAAACCTAATTATGCTCCTTTAAAAAAAATCAAAAATAGCAACAATTTACCAGAACTTTTGAAAAATCACAAAAGTACCAAACTTAATTTCTAACAGCTTTGTTTCAAAATAACAACTAGAGTAATTACAAAAATACTAACCTGACAATAACAAAGAGAAAAAAGAATAAAAAAGCTGACATCAATCGCATTTTCATGTTTACGATTTCTCTTGCCCGACCCCTTGTGACCTTCACGTCTCTTGCCCGACCACCTGTGTCCTGGAATTCTCTTGACCAACCTCCTCCGCCCAAAGTGGAGGGAGATAAATGACCTCCACCCCACAGTTCATCACATTCTTCTTAAACCATCTTTATTTTTATGAAAACAATAAATATTAGTTATCTGGGGTTAACTTGAATCAATTTGGGAAACAGTAAAAATAATATTACTTTTATGTAATAAAATATTAGGAATCACGTTCATGTACAATTCAAAATATATAGGAGGGGAGGGTGGGCCAAAGAATGTTATCTATGACGGATACAAAACGCGATGTACAGCGGCGCAACTAGGCCTTTTCGGAGGGGGGGGGGCGAAATCTGAAAGTTATCAGGGGGGGAGGGTAACGGGGGGGCTAG